TGTAACACCCTTAATCTAGCTGGTTAATTATAAGCTTTAGTCATATTGCGCTAGATTGGAAAAATGTTAATATTCTAAAATGAAAGGATAGTAGAAAAGTACAAAACAACAGAGTATTTTCATTCAGTATATATATAATGCTGTTATCACCATAAACTTGTAATCTTGAATATCAACAAATTAGGCCATACAAATACTAGTGTTTTAGTGATGCAGCTTGAGTTGCTGCTTACCTTGCCTTCTTTATTTATACAAAAAGGGTGGAGGATAATAAGTGATAAAAGGTTTACTAAACTCGTGGTTTTAAGGATATAAAAAGTTCCTTGTGACATTGCACGCAAACAAAAATGCACATGCGTATTGCAAGAGGTGATTTGTTATTATATAGCTCAAAAGATGTTGCCCCTATAACGAAAGAACTTGTATTGTTGGGTAAAGCGTGTGTTTAGGATTCAGTGCAAAAGCAGGAGGAGGGAGGGGTGGGGGGATGGGTGGGGTGGTATACTGAGTTTGGCTATAAGGCATGTGGTGCTACTCTTTTCCATTGTGCTCTTTTCTTGGTACTACTCTTTTGCATTGTGCTCTTTCCTTTTATTGGTTTATTAACTTCCCTAGATTATTATTTCTTTCAAATTCATGGAACGATGGGATTCTCTTTTCTTTTCTATTGTTTTGCGTAGACATATTTTATATTTCTTCTAATTGCTCAACTCTCTTTTCAGTTACAATATTGACCAGCATGATTATTCTGTGCGTTTGAAATCTGCCCAAAAGTTTTTGAAAGACGGTGACAAGGTTTAGTTTAGTTTTGTTTTTGTTTTTTGTTTTTTGTTTTGCTTTTGTTTTTTATTTTTTAAAAAATTTTGAGCTGTCAACATTTTCCTACTTTTTCTTACTCTTATTGTCTATTGAGATCTTTGTTCAAACTTCTGCAGGTTAAGGTTGTAGTGAACTTGAAAGGTCGTGAAAATGAGTTCCGGAATATTGCTATTGAGCTTATCAAACGTTTCCAGAATGATGTCGGGGAGGTACTTCTATACGTTTGAATTTACTATTAATAACGTCTAGATTGACTTGTTAATTTTGGATAGACTTCTCGAAACCTTAATGTTCATTTGTGCAATTGGCGATCAAATTTATGGACTCGAAAAACCTCTTGGTCCTATAGCGGGAAAAATTT